TTAAGTTGTTAGTTTCTTTTATTGCCATACTAGACACACATCGATCGATTTCTGAGTTGAATCAGTGACCTAATCATTCGAATAGCTCATATACCTAATGAATAGACTGAAATACAATTTTGTACTGACTCATATACAGAAAAAGGATTTGTAGAATACGAATTTAGAAATGATCAAAGCGATTTATCATAGCAATATAGGAAAACCGCTACATTCTTAATTTATGTTGTTGGAATGTTAAGTACACTTTATTTAATTCTACATTCCTCTTAGTGGTTAGTTCTGTAATATGACCAAATAGGTTGGAAAAACATTTTAGAGCGTTACATTTTTTTATGGCCAATTCACTTTTATGAGCAAGAAGATTGGAAAGATATTTTGGAGCATTTAAATTTTTAGTAAACAATTAAATTTCAAATTTCAAAGATACTTTTCTACATAGTATTATATCGTCACGCCCATCTCCCATTGAGGTAGACAGAGATAAGAGCCTTCGACTTGTTACGAACCTGACACACATCTTTGCAAAGGTATTATGGAGCTCTTAATTTTTAGTCGCTTAGTCTGTATAATAAGAAAGTGGGTGGGAAAGATATTTTGGATTTTAGCAAGTTTAAATGTAATGTGTCTTTATTACCATAACTGTCCTTATTTATGCGATAGCATAACTTGAGATAACATGTTATCTAAAGCGATTAACACACTGCACCGCGGAGCTGCGATTTTTAACGTTGTACTGAAGTACCTCGGTTTGTATGGAAAACACTCGCCGTCAAACACACTGACAACGCTTCCCGCGCGGGAGCACGGCGAACCGCAGGGTATGGCACACTACGCTCCGCACTACCGCGCAGATTTTTAATCAATTTGTGTCTATTCCAGTAATTGTCGTTCGGATGTTCTCTAACAAATAATCAAAGGATTCAGTTGACATTCGTGTGTAGTTGAAACATCAATATTTATATTTTCTTAAATCTTTGTAATGAAGTTGAATGTTATCTTCGGTGTCTTTTTATTTGAGTAAACAAAAACAATCGACAGTATAACTGCAGCGTCTTGAATGAGTTGTGTATTATTAACCATTCTTGTCAAAGAAGGATCTCAGCTACATGTGCAATCATTACGATGATCAACTACGCAGCGAGTACTTTGAGTGGGTCGCTAGACCGCTGCCCCCGCGCAGATTAAACCACGCGTTGACGCAGATCTGCGTCTCCGTTACCGCGCCCGTGATTCCGCGTTCCACGCACCGTCGCGGTGCAGTGTGTTAATCGCCTAAATGAACATATTATTAGAAAAAAAAAAACAAATTACATCACACAAACAAACTACAAATCGCGATTACGCTTACTAACAAAGATTAAAACGATAAAACAATTAGTTCCTCATCAAAATGAGGGGTGGATCAAGGAGGGGTGAATGGCCTCTTTAGCAATGCTGTATGCGTATGCGTCACGTTATGACTCAGGTGCTCGAGACATTGGCGGTCGGAAGCAAGGACAGCGCGATATTGATACTTGTATGTCCTAGATATACTTAATACCTGATAGTTATGTATGAGTGCGACACAGAAGATGAATCAATTTACAGATATATAGAGATATAATTTCAGGGTTATTCCCAATTGTGTACTGGATGCCTGTAGGATATCTGTGTAGAACGCCTATATGAAAGAACTGCCCAGCAGCATCTTTATCATGTAGTTTCCAGGGCACACCACAATAGTAATTACATTATCGGTGGTATTTCTTCCTATGCTTTACCAATAAGATAAAGAGAAATCACACTGAAGGTTCTAAATGAACACCATTACTTAACAGGTTCTCTTTGCTCCAGACGACCTGTGTATCCATGTTTACTTGAGAACTCCTAAAACGATCTGTGAAGCTTATAAGAAGCTTTGCTTTACAGTAAGGTATTTTATTAGAGACTAAACTAGTGGACAGCATTTTCTGTTTGCAAGATATTTCAATCTGTCAAGATTAAGCGTAATTGCGCGCACGTAAATTCAGCCGTGTAATCATTTTGTAATTATTTAACAAGATCACATTCGGACTATTATTGCAGAAATATCATTGACAATTAAATAAACAAATTAGTATAACCAATTAAGTAAATAGACACATAATGAAATTAATTAATCTAACAAAAGGTCAACATTCAAATCAAAAGGGTAATTGCATGCAAATATACTGGATAATAAATTACATTGATAAGTTTGATAATTACACTGTGCGAGTCTCTCAGGACAGTTTATTGTTCAATGCACTGTGAAAATGCAAGTTCAGACTTCAGATGTAACTTAAAGGTGTTTTTAATACTTTTCAATAAGCAGGTTTCTTCATTAATTCTTTTGTAAACATTAAAGCAAGTCTACGTTTCGGGCCATTTACAGGTCTCACAGTCACGTCTGACTGAGATGGTAAAGTCATCAACAAGTTATGTCCAATATTAATTACTATATATAATTATACTTTCTTCCAATGTGTAATAATCATGAAACATAAGAACTCGAGAAGTCTACAAAGTGTAAATAATAGTATTTTTAATCACTTTTAAGATCTGTGACCAGAAAAAAAGCTGCTACCAGGTTTGTTGATTTAGGTGAAGTTTCAAGAATAACAAATTGCACAATTCATATACAATATCTTCATTTTTAGGTGCCATAACTTAAATTACTTGCATATTCCAGTGGGAAACAGTTATGCTGCTGTACTTAGGGCTAACGCAGTTACCATACCGGACCGCCACTCAGAGGTCCCACGTTCGATTCCTGGGCTGGAAGAAATATTTGTATGGCCTACATTTATTTATCTCGTGAGTTATGGTGTAATTTGTGGTTGTCTATGTGCGTTTCCATTGCAACCGCGACAGTGTTTCACTAGTGTGGGGCTATGTTGAGTGTGTGCGTTATTACGACAACCATTTCACCAGCTTGAATAGAGGATACAAATGTAAAATAGAGAGGTTAACATACTCAGTTTAAGATGTTATTGGCAAAATGGCATTACTATTTCTGTGTTAGTGCTTAGGTACATATTCCTACAGTGAAGGGAATGTCAGTTTATTGTAATGTTTGGCTACTAATTGCAAGTATGCAATTAGCAGTAGCTTTTGAGCAATAAATTAGGAGAACTTAGACACACTCATTACAGACAGGAAACTGTAAATTGCATATTTTACAGAATATACCAGTAAGACTATAGTGTAGCCCAACAAATGATGTTATATGAACTATTTTTCTTTTGATGAATAATCTGGTTATTCATAGCCTACTGGTTAGACTGTGGAGAAGGGCCTAGACAGCGGACAACTGGTATGACTATGAACAATTTTCATACATCCTGAAGCTGGGTGTGCATACTATCTTATGGAAAAAGGTCCATAGAGATCAGTGGCTCAGATAGACATTCCACAAGATGCTTATGAAATACAGGTATGGTTTATCTTGTTGCATTTTTTGTCACCATTTAAGCAAGTGATAATGGTTTGTAACTTTTAATTAGGTACATGGTTTGTATATGTACAATTAAGTACTTATACACATCTTCAATTTGTAGAGTTTAAAGTCCAGACCATAATAATTGCTTTCTGAACTAAAATTGTTAATGCGAAGTGTAAGAAGAGTGTCACCGACATTATATTTTACTACAAAGATATTCACATATTTTTGTGAAATTGCTCCACTAGATTGTTATAATTATTAATAAAAAGATCAAACGCAAATAAAAAAAATCCTCCAGTCTGACAGCACTCGCATTGTGTCAGTGCCAAATTAGGGCGACCGGTCAACCAAGTGAGCTACAAATTGAATCAGCATATTTTACGAATTTCTCTGAGTTGTTTATTAAATCTTTACCTTGGGCTTTTACACCGCGTGTCAATGCCAAATGCAGCACTATGAACCAGTTGAAAAGTGAAACACTTTGTATGCAATTTATTAACAAATACCTTGTATTTTAGATCTTTAGTCTGGTATATTAGAGGTTGCTTTTGCTTTTGATCTCCACTTTATCATGTTAGTATTACTGATTACTTTTGTATGCAGTACAATGATTGACAAGATCTATTTGCTGCAGCTATGCCAGTGCACCTTTATTCAACATAGTATTACTATAATTGTTATGAATCATTGATCAACCTTCAGTACTAATGATTCATGCCCATATATGCAACCAATAGCTATTTCATGTCATCACTGAGCACAGCCAACGAGGAAAAGCATATATCTCCTTACTAATTATGTTAATATGAGTCATAACAGGATATTAAGGGTCTGATAAGAAAGTTTTTACAAACCACATCGTATAGACATTACACTGATGTCATAGGAGTGACCTTGACTTAGCGGTTTAAGAGAGCAATACCCTCGTGGATTTTTAGTCGGTTTGGTACAGGGACGCGTCTAATATCAATTGTAGCCCCTATTCACCCCAAAATAGACACGAAACGGTTGACAGGAGGTTGCGCGACTGCTATACCATATATGGTCAAACTCAAATGCGACTGCGCGGCGGTGCAATCACTCTCGGTTCGATGCCCTCGCGGAGTGACACAGCGGTGCCGCCGACACCACATCTGTCTGATAATGTGAAGATCAACCGCCAGACGCCCCGCTGCCGGCCACGCCGCTACCAAATCGGCGCTACGACGTCAAAAAAGGCGTTGCAAGCACGTAACCTTTACAACATACGTGAAATCCAACACCGATCAACAGCGGTTGGCCTGTCCATCACATCCACGCGGCACATCCCATCCGTTCGACAGCCCGTACGGGTACCGTAAAACACAACACGTGGCATAAAAATCACTGAACGGTGACAACTATTTTTACGAAAAGGCGTGCAAACTCGCAGTGGAGTTGTGCGAAATATGGCGGCACCCTTCACGGAACAACATTTTTCTTTGTAAATGCGGCATTTCACATAGAATTTTAACACTCGCGTTTTAGATTATCACAATACGATCCCAAAGCACTGCAATTTATTTTCTTCACTTACCATTTTTTGATGTTACACACGTAAAAATTCCACCACTCACTTCACCGACTCCACGACAGCGGGCGACCGGAACGATACTGCCGTAATGTTGGCTACACGTATTTTGCGGCGACTCGGCGACCAATCAGCGCAAGTGTCAAATGGTAATGGATAACGATGAGTCAACTAAAATTCTTTTTATGGTAAAAACTTATCACAGATAATTTCACAAAAGGGCATTTATCTATAAAAGTACAATACACATTTTGGCATGTCCCATAACTTCTAATGTTCTCATCGTGTTTGTATCATTTATAAAAAAATCTATTTGGATCAGAACTATATAAATGACATTTTATTTGAAGTATGTATGGTAGGAATTTAATTTTTCTGTTTGCATTGCTTGTATTGTATCTAAGGCTTATATCTACTGTCCATGCCCCGTGTTTACATCTTAGACTGGAAATCATCCTATGCGATACATCTTAGACTTGGTTTTTTTTCCATCCTCTAAGGTGTACTGTATATACATATTTGACAATCTGGACCGTTTTTACTACGATAGTAATAGAGTTGAATTTAAACTGTATCAAGCACGACCTACACGACGTGTTCAGTAGGTACCCACAATTTTAGCACATTTTAGGCTGTCCTAACTTGATTGTAACAAAACTTTAAGATAATTTGCCAAGAAGTTCGCGTCATGGTTAGAGCGATGTAGCGCACGATTTTAAGCAACAATGCAACCACGCGACTGCATCGATACTAACGCGCGATTGTATCGCTACACCTGGGTTTTAAAGGCGATAGCATCGATGTAATCGCGCGTTTGTGTCGACGCAGTCGCGTGTATGCATCGATGCAATCGTCTACAAATCGCAAGTATAGCGATACAATCGCGCGTTTCTCGAACGCGCGTTTGCATCACTGCTAAAAGTCGCCGTGTATAACCACTGCGCACTGTTAGTTTCTTTTTTATGGAAAATAAGATAGAATTATGAAGGATAGAAGGATAGAATTAGAATAAGGAAGAAGATAGAATTTACTACATTTTGGTAATTTGAAACCTGTTTTAAATTACAACAAAAGTTAGTCCCTGACCACAATATGTTATCCTATTTTCTGCAAAATAATAATAATACCTATTGGGTGTTTTTTGTTTTAGAAACAGCAACACTTAATGAAATTATAGAAAATAATTATATTCTGGACATATTTAGAACGAGAATGTACTGTAGATACCTACTTTATTAACTTTTACTCATTGATCTCCTTCTTTTACTTTGAAAATATTAGTTTTAAAAAACTTGGATTGTAGTCAAGAAATTGGGATGAAAATGGCGGGTTTAGAAGTTATAGTTTTTGCATCATTATATAAAATTTTTAGTTTACCTACGTATTATTTATTATTACGTTTTGAAATTCATAATTATTTGTTACCTGTTTAAGCTGATGGCTCTATAGCTAATGCTCAATAAATAAATAAAAAAATCAATAAATTGGTGCATAGAGTTCTGAAAAGCAAAATCACCAATAAATTAACTTGGATGGCAGAAAGCATAACAGAATTTAATTTTTTCCATCGGTTTTGCTGTCCAATTAATCACCAGAGTGTATTTCTTCATAATTAAGAATTTTAGGAGTTATATATATATATTTTATATTGAAAAATTTCATTGTACGAAGTTTGTGATATTCCCCCATAGTATGCCGCCTTGATAAAGCTATTATATCCACATTTAGCTGTCAAATGCGAGTGATAAACTATATAATTTTATGACAATAGCGAACATGGCGAGCACCTTGACGTCACATTTTTATGTCATTGCGAGCACCGGCAACCAATGACTGCAAAAGATTAATGCAGTGCCAAACATGGCTGCAAGGTCACAAGGTGATTTTAAAACATTTGCACAGTAATTTTATTAACGCACAAATTGGGAGCGACAAATGAAATGAAAAGACAATAGTTAATTACCTAATAAGCATACTTAGATTTATCAACTGAATAAAATATTGTCACGTGAGGTTATTCACACTATATTCTGCAATGCTACGGTAAATGATTATGTAGTTAATATCTTCTTCAAAACTTTTACAGTAACAAAATTTGTTGCATACATACATTCGTTTAATTTCACTTTATTACACTTTGATTGGGGTAACCAAATTGTAAAAAATTAAGAAAAATGAGTGACCGTGTCTTGTCCAGACTCTAGTCACAAATTTTTCTTAATTTTTTTTAATATAATATCTAATGACGGGTGGAACAACTCGTGCGCCTGATGGTAAGCTGCACGCCTGTCCATAACAGTAGCAGTGCCACTCAGAGCTTTAATTTCTCTGAATATTTTGTTAATTTGAAAACGTCAATTATAAAATTTAGAGTGTCTTTAGATTATGATTCCAACATAGAATTTGAAAAGAACAAAAAGATATGAAGTAATTTTTACGTTATTGTACTTTTAAAGTAAACATGCCCAAATGCAAAAAAAAATAACGGAACTGTAAAATACATTAAAACTAAAAATTACTTGATATATTCTGAATAATCACAAAACACTATAAACACGCGTCACGTCGTCTTTTAAACACTAACAACCCGGGTGAGCAATGTTGCGATACAGCGCAAACAATATAAAATTGTTCAATATAAACCGCACGCCTTGCTTGAGATTATAGTCGAAGAAAAACGCGCGAAGCATTTTCGGAGCTACAGTAAAAACATGCTACTGGAAAGTGAATCACTAGTGGTGATGATAACATTTTAACCAATCACAAATCGTATACTCATAATGTCCATATATGGACAGACGGAAACAGCACATATCGTTAACATTTACTTATTTAAAATTTGGCGGGAATACCGGCTGCTTAGCCTATCAGACGAATAATAGAAAATAACTACTTGATTTATTTCAAATGTGCTTTATTCCTCACATTAAATGTACAAAATTTTTACAAACGTGTAAATAAATATATAAATCTATATGTTTATTTACACGTAGACTAGATAATATAAATCTTAACAGTTTTCGCGTCACTTATCGTAATTTGTGTATACCTTTTGTGATTATGTTTACAAGGCCATATATGGGATGATGCAATCACGAGTTTACATATTAGCATTAGTCTTCGTAGTTTAGGAAATATAGTTACAAGGAAAGAGGATGAAGGAGAAATAAAACGCTTGTGTTAACTATTTCATATTAACCCTTAATCGGTCTTAACGGCCGGCTAAGAGTTACGATAATTGACCTTATTGACTAACATCCATATCATTGCCGGTGAACAAAGGAACACACGGCAAATTTTGAACTTTATATTCATATTTCAATGGAATATTTTTTGCCCCGTTTTTATCTTTATGAATACCTTTACGGCATACACTACACTACAGTATACGTAACGGTGTGTGGAGATTCAGGATCGTATTCCATTTTCAGTGCTCACTGCAATACTCAAGTCTTAACTTGAGTATTGTGTAGAGTTCTGGAATACGACCATTAGAGACGTGCAGTCCTTGCTGATGTTTTCTTCAAAACATTTGCTGCAGTTTTTAGTTATAAACGCTTCGCCTATAATATAGATAGACAAATTTTTTTGTTGTTTTATTGTCTTTATAATATCATTGTGTCTAAATTTACGGTGACCCTTAAAGTTCACTTTGTTCATAAAATCGAACCCAGCGCCGTACACCACGAGGGTGCCGGCCTCTTTGCCGAAATACTCGTCGACAATCGTGTGGTTTACCTTTTGATCGTGTATATACTTGTCAAACTTTAACCGCTGCACCCGCCTCTATTCGTAGCGGTGCTGTTTCTTGTCGAACCATGAGTTGGAATTTGGTGTATTCTTCTACGTGTGCAGTTTTGCGAGAGATGGCACATCCCAGTTGCTTTTCTGTAGACTCTCTATCATTCCTAATTTCTGCATTTATATCTTTGACGAATCGTAATCCCTTTTTTACTCGGTGCCACTCTTTAGTTTCGTATACAACTTTACTCTTTTTCAGCGTTTTGTACTCAAACCCGTTACTGGTTCTCGTGCATGTAACTATCGGTTTTGGCCCCCGGTCAACGGCTATAACTTTATTATATTTCCTATAACAACTGTTGTTGTTTTCAAGTGCTTCTTCTTTTCTCGCTTCCTTGGTTTTATATTTGTACCCTTTCTCAATTAATCTATTCATCGACATTGAAATGCAAACGCCGTCTGTGCAAAAACTATAACCGAAATTTTTGGGCAGGCTGAAATATTTACTCCAGTATTGTTTGATATTTTATGACGATATGACGTATTCTGCCTGTCGACTCTGCGTAAAAGTTCATGCAGACCCCGCGAGTCGTACGTGAGGTACTTCGACCCGTGAGAATACACAGGAAATTCATTGAACGACTTCTTATTATTTTCCGAAAGCTCGTGTTGTACAGCGGGACAAACTTCCAAAAATTTTGCTTATCTCCTTCCTCGGTAACATTGATAGCGTTGAACCAATCACCGATTTCGTTATCACTGTACGTATTTTTATACAATGCGTTGAAACACTACTCGTGCCTTTGTTAAATTTTCGAAAAACTTGAAATACATTTATTTATTTATATATACATGTATCGCTTTAAGCGTTTGTAAGCGTGCGTGTGTACATTCGTCTCCAAAATTGTGTTTGTACTCCTTGGCCATAGCCATTAAAGTGAACGACCTCAAGGCTCCGTCATACACCACGTTGTTATTCAATTGCTTGTATTTTTCAATAATACCCAAATGGATCTTGTAGCTTACGTTGTCTGCCCAATACGTAGGTGAATTGTAAAGGTTCAAACTTTGGAAACGGGAGAGGAAAGTCATCACGAGTACAGTAATGTTTGAAAAAGCAATTTATCAAATATGTCAATTCAATCCCGAGTCTTGACAACTCTTTTACGTCGTTTCGAATCGTTTCCAATAACTTAACTTTTTTATCTGCCAGCGTACCGACGAAATAATCAATTTCCTTGACACAATATACTGACAATTCGTGGTTCTCACCTACATCAGTTTCACGTACACGCTTCTTTCGGTTCAAGCACTTTGAACTCGATGAACGGGCGTGGTCACTGTCTGTTCCCGCACGAATTACAGGGTTTCACCTTAGAATAATAACGCATAGAATGATAGTTTCATATCAAACGAACTGTCACAAGTGGAGGCAAAAATCAAATTAATGTAGGCTAGTTTTAGTAGTGTATTAATTTTCGGTTTTAGTGAATATTTATATAAAAATACAAGTTGAAACGCGTTACTTCCTTGTGGAATGTGATGTTAGTATCTATTTTATGTTTGTCTGACGTATTTTTACACTCATTTACCGCATATTTTGTCATTTTTAGCTAAAATTCTGGAGCTGTTCGCGGTGCAAGTTGACCTTGAGCACTGAAGGCCCGCCCGTTCGTGTAGGCCCTTTGGGAGCGCTTCAATTTGCCTCACTTAGCGTGTGCGGGCTAGGTTTCTATGCGTTATTATTCTAAGGGTTTCACACAATTGTCGCCCTGCATTATTTATCTTGTACTTTCACTTGAATTCTTCATTTATTATTTATTTGTTTATAAATCACTGGCTTCAGAGCCATCACTTTAATAATCAAGAAACGCACAACGTAACATCTTATACTAAAAATTAATTCGTGTAAAAAATATAATTACTCTGAATTCTTCACTAAATTTTTTTTTCACCTCTAAGCTAAATACATAAAATTTGGCGGCAAAAAATATTCATTTGTTTAGGCACTGATTCAAGGTTTTCAGCCTCTTCTCAAGAACAAAAATAATTATATAAGGATACAATACGGCTCAATAAAAAGGATACAATATTCAGGTCAATATGTTACCATAGTCCAATTAAGGGTCAAAAAAAAAAATACAAACTTATTACAGAATAAGGAAAACTTTAAAAAAAATGTACGGTTCTTACGGACTAACGTACGTCTCACAATATAGAATATTTACACATTCAGTCACAGTATATATCAATTTCCGTACATTACACAGCTGTACATGGGTTTCTTATAATAACGACGGTTTTATCCACGTAAATATTGGCAATCTGTTTTAGGATCCAGAAATAGATCCAGTATCGCCTTTTGGCATGATTTATTCTTTAAAATTATACAAACATGCTATGAGTCCAAGTACATTATATTTAAATCTTAGATTAGACAACATTCAGGCGTTCCCAACGTATTTATGATATCTTTTGTACATTGTATACATGTTACTCAAAGTCATGTGGCCAGGAGACCCAGCCAATGCTCGTCTAAGAAATGCAGTGGTGTAACTACTATCACAAGATTGTATCAACAGTGCCGTGCAATTTTCTAAATGCTGTCGCACGATTTTTGTAGGCCCTGTTCGTTCAAGGAGGGAGCAGATGTCGGCTACTGCGTATGTTGCAATTCTCGAGATGTGGTTCTTGCGTTTGCAGATTGATTGGGTTAGCCTGAAAATTTTAATAAATATGTATGATCTTCTGCTTCTTTTAAATGTTTTGGCCTCATCGAAATAATCTATGATTTCGCCAATGTAAAGTAAAAACGACTATATACGATAGTTTTATAAAAATTATGGCGGACGCCATTAGCAAGGCCGGTACCTCCCCTCCCACGAACTCCCAAATATTAATCCTCATGTATGATCTAAATTGTTAATTGCATTTATGTTTAGACAAATAGGATTTTTCTGTCACTGTTAAAATGATCTTAATGATCAAGCTAAAGTGCTAAAATATGTATACAAGATCATTGGCTATGTATTACACAATAGAATAAATTTTGAATGACAATAGAAATACGATCTGTATTAGGCTTCATTTTAATAAGATATTGTACTAGTCTTAGAATAATAACGCATAGAATGATAGTTTCATATCAAACGAACTGTCACAAGTGAGGCAAAAACCAAATTCATGTAGGCGTAAGCAACTTGTAACTACGCTCGTCGGCACGCACACAAATATACAAATAATGATGCCATGGAATAACATTTCCCTCAAAAGTGGGGAAATTGTATCTTGCTTAACTCATCATTAAGTTAAAGGTGCCTACAGATTTGCCCGACATTGTCGATCAGGTGCCTACAGATATGCTCGGTTTTGTCGATGAAAAACGAATATAGCACTTATTTGTAAATCCAAGATGGCGGACACGATTTTTCAAAATATGCTATATGGGTATCCTTTTCGAGGTATTTGGGGATGCTCATTACGAATATGGCACTCATTTCTAAATCCAAGATGGCGGACACGAGTTTTGAAATAAATGCAATATGGGTATCATTTTCGAGGTACTTGGGGGTGCTCATGACGAATATGGCACTCATTTCTACATCCAAGATGGCGGGCACGATTTTTCAAAAAAATGCAATATGGGTATCATTTTCGAGGTACTTGGGGGTGCTCATTACGAATATGGCACTCATTTCTAAATCCAAGATGGCGGGCACGATTTTTTCAAAAAAATGCAATATGGGTATCATTTTCGAGGTATTTGGGGATGCTCATTACGAATATGGCACTCATTTCTAAATCCAAGATGGCGGACACGAGTTTTCAAATAAATGCAATATGGGTATCATTTTCGAGGTACTTGGGGGTGCTCATTACGAATATGGCACTCATTTGTAAATCCAAGATGGCGGGCACGATTTTTTCAAAAAAATGCTATGTGGGTATCATTTTCGAGGTATTTGGGGATGCTCAATGCGAATATGGCACTATTTGTAAATCCAAGATGGCGGGCACGATTTTTCAAATAATGGCAAGTTGGGTATCGTTTTAGAGGTATTTGGGGGTGCTCATTACGAATATTGCTTTTATTTGAACTGTCGTGTTTGCCATCTTGGATTTAGAAATGAGTCCCATATTTGTATTGAACATTCCCAAACATCTCGAAAACGATACCCAACTTGCCATTATTCGAAAAATCGCGCCCGCCATCTTGGATTTAGAAATAAGTGCCATATTCGAAACCTAAAACCGAAAATGCCATAAGCAAACATTAAAGAAAATAACTGTTAAAATAGATTAAAAAATCGCTTAAGAATCCCCTCTTAAGCTCCCCTTTTAAGAAAATAAAATATTTTAATATAAAATATTTCGCTTGAGTTACGAAAAGAAAGACATATAATAAGCTATCAAAGTTGTACTGGTGGTGCCAACACTATAGTAGAAACAAATATATACTGTAAATTTGTTGCAATATGTGCTCCAATTCAAATAAAATTAATATAAATAATTATTCAATAAAGCATGAACGCAGAGCCGTTAAAAGTATTATAAAATAATTAAGTGTCCCAATCACTTACAGGAGTTAACGAAAACATTTAATGTTTATTCGAGTAAATATTAGTTCAAAATGCGCAAATAAATCGAAATTACAGGCACCACTAAAATTTACGTAATATAATTATTTTGATACAGAATAGCAAAATGGGGAGAAAAAAAATTCGTTACTTTGCAACACTTTCGTATCTTGTTGCCGCGAAATTATTTTTCTGTTTTAGTGAATATTTACATAAAAATATGAGTTGAAACGCATTACTTACTTGTGGAATGCGATGTTAGTGTCTATTTTGTTTGTCTGTTGTATTTTTACACCCATTTACCGCACATTTCGTCATTTTTAGCAAAAAATTTTGGAGCTGTTCGCGGTGCAATATGACCTTGAGCACTAACAGCCCGCGCGCTCCTGGGACGCGTTTGGAACCCTCTAACTTGCCTCACTTAGCGTGTGCGGGCTAGGTTTCTATGCGTTATTATTCTAAGGTACTAGTATTACTTTATTCAATAAAATATTTTTGTTGCATGATTTTTTTAAATTTATAATTTTGTTTGTATTTAGAACTTTTTTAGTAATTTCAAGTGACGGGACGAACAAGTAGTGAGCCTGATGGTAAGCTACACGCCTGTTCAAACAGTCGCATTGCCTCATGCGTTTTTTAAGAAAACTGGAGTAGACATCCAGATAGGCTCTCTTCACGTTTCGATACTATTTGACAACTATCTAGATTTAAATAGCGCAGTGGCAGTGCCCCTCAGATCTTTGCGATTTAAAGCCCTGAGCAGTACTGCAACTGTTATGAGCAGGCGTGTAGCTTACCACCAGGCAGCACGACTTGTTCGTGCCATCACTTGCTATAATAAAATACTGCTTTTACAAAGGAGGTTTTAAAACAATTACTTTTCAATAGAGTGTGCGATTTCCGCCATCTTGTCTTCTTCGGGTTTGTCCAATTGCACAGCAGATGTCGCTAGTTGGCACAGATATTGCACTAAGCCACGGTAACATTGCATAAAGCAGGGCCATCTGAAAAATTTACGAATGATTACGTCACTGAAGAAAAAAAAAACAATGGAAGTGCCTTAAGCCTCGATTACTATCAGAACTCACAAATTCATAATTTGGAATACTGAAATCTTGATAATGATTGGTCGAAGTTTCAAATTTAAAAAGAAATATATTCGGGACTGTTAATATAATTTTAATTTCAAATTTCAAATTCGCACTCAAAGTTCAATACCATCAACATCTATTAATGCAAGTTACGACGTTTTGATTTTATATTGAAATTTCCATCAATGTGCTGCCATCTAGCCGTTAATACCTGGACGACGAGGAATTTGAGATGTTTAATAAGTTCGCCATAAAAGAACATTCGTTTACTTTCGTTTCTTGTAAGAAAAAAATGATTACGATAAACAGTAAGTGGAAAATGTATTAGAATAAAATAAAATAAGACTTAATGACAATACGAAACACCACCGAAGACAATAATATTACGAGAGCGACTATCATTTTTGCACTCCAAAATAGCGAAATAAGGCATTTTTCTACGATTTTCGAGGTTTGCGCGAGATAATTGACACGACTATAACGTACAAAGCGAAAATCGCGGACTGAGCTTAAGTTTGCGGAACTTCGCGCACTGTTGGCACGCGTGCCATGCAAAACTAAGCATTTCTAATGTAGTTATTGTTCTGTGGATTACATATTCGATGGTCTCTGTGTTATTGCTTGAATAAGAGAGTTATAAAATTTCACACGTATATCGACTGTGAACTGGCAATCGGTACTGTTTCAATTTTGACAACTTTACAGGTGAAAAAAAATTTTTGCGTCATTTATATAGCATCTGCTTTATTAAATTGAAATACGTAGTTTTTAAATATTTTTTTTACACATCTATGTATATACACTACGTATTTTTTTAATAAACCAGATGCTACATAAACAATGGTTTTAGGGTGCTATTTAAGTTGCCGCGTTACTGCAGTGCCTCTACTATGTTTGCTGAGCCTCGTACAGATTGCTTTTAATCAGTTATATGAAAGCGTTGTGCCTCACTCCTGATTCGGCTACGAGGCAGCACGAATGGCATCCTTAGCACCCTTGTGGCTAGATGGGACTCTCCGATGGTGAGGCGCTGGGTGCAGCTGCATACGGCTCCAAGTAGGTAGCTGCGCCTCGTACGTACTCGTACTTCCCCAGTTGTTACTAACACTAATTTTTAAGTTTTTAAGTTATTTTGTTACTAACACTATGGATTTATAGTCCGAAATAAATTATTATTATTATAAACGATTTTTTCTTCACCTGTAAAGTTGTCAAAATTGAGATAGTACCGGTTGCCAGTTCACAGTCGATATACCTAATTTGTTTTATATAGGTAGTATTCTTTTTAAAATTTTCATGTGATAAAAGCATTTTTGATCAAATGTGGCTATATTATACCAAGGGTACGAATATTTGCATACCTATCTTCAAGCAATTCCTCTCTCGATAAAAGTAAAGCATTCAACACGCTAATACACCCTTCGAACAGAGTGAATTTAGCTGCACGGGATACGTCATAGTAGATTTGCACTGAGTTCTCTCCGATGAGACAGTGGGTGAGGTGTTGGAGGCAGAAGACTGAATCCAGGAATTTGTAGTCCAAGGATATCTGGAAGTCGGAGAATAAAAATATTTTTACGAAATTAGAAAAAAAACTAATTTTTTTTTATTGTTTTACATTAAAAGAACGAAATGCGATTTAAGTATAGTCTACTCAAAATTAATGATTGATATGAGTCTGTTCAAAAACATGCGATACAAATCAATGTTCAGCTAATGCTTTTAAGGTGCACTTATTGTTTTAGACGTAATTATTATAGTTTCAATAAAAAAAACTGCCTCTGTGGCCGAACGGTTACCATGTCGGACTGCCACGCAGAGGTCCCAGGTTCGATTCTCGGGCTGGGAGAAATAGTTGTATGGCCTACAATTATTTCTCTCGTGAGTTTGGGTGTAATTTGTGGTTGTCTATGTGTGTGTCCATGGCACCCGCGACACAGGGTTTCCCTAGTGCGGGGCTATGTTGAGTGTGTGCGTTATTTTAAAGTCAATATGGTTCTAAACGAGAACATGTAGTTGGAGTTGTTTTCAATAAAAAAAAGCATCAAAAAGATAATGTTGATGTGCTGCTCCCACATTTGTATTGTAATGTTTAAACTGCAAATTTAAACCCTGTGTATGGGGTAAAACACAATTTATAATATATAAATATTAAATTAGTTGAAAAACGAAATTTGAGATATGTGGCTTACAGTGTATCTAAAAAATCAAAAATAATGGACGACATGTGCAGTTTTGAAAATATATTATATGCCACATAAGTTTAAGTTGGTTTTTCATTATACTACGAGTATTAGGACTTAGTGGACGGATATTAGGATGCTTTTATACCTAAAGTTCACTTTTTCCTGTGACTGTCGAAATATGGAAGCGGCTTTTTAAAATGTTTTTGCTTCTATTAAATCCTGGGATCCCGGAACGGCGTGAGATGTTGCGATATGTGTATATTAAAACTACAATTTATTTTTCCTTTATCAACTTTTTAATTTAAATGACAGACACACGAGACTTGTTAACATATTTCTCATGGTGACTGACGCAGTGGCAGTGCCCCTCAGATCTTTGCGATTTTAAGCTCTGAGTGGCATTGCAACTGCTACGGATAGGCGTGTCACTTACCACCAGGCGCACGACTTTTTCGTCCCGCTACTTGGCATCATAAAAAAAATGGCATTTTAAACGTTTGTTTTTCTACAATTTTATACTCTAATACATATGTAGTTTCCTAAAGTGATCCCTACCGCCCCCAGTGGGTCTTGAAGAGTCCCAGGTAGGAGCCTCGGAATATATGTATATATTTTCCTTGTGATTTTTTTGGGTTAAGTTAATATAAAAAAAGTGTTTCATTATTTTTTGTGGTGGTGGGTGTGGAAATTTTTTTATCTTGTCCAAGTGGGCGGTGAGCTAAAAAGTTTCGGAACCTATGCTCTAATAGTGACGTCAATACCACGGGGATTTTTCAATACAAAAGCGAATACATATCAGCGCCGAATTGTAAGTAAATAAGCATCCGATTATCCGAACACTATGACACTAGGCGGTGCTGTTTGGTCTTGCGTATCTTTAAAATTACCTTTTTAGCAGCCAAAATAACTTCAGACAATATATCAAAATCCACTTTCAGCAGTTCACAAATGACGTCATCAACTGGAATCACACGAACTTCATTTGTCTCTACGTCACTTCTCGTTTCAAAATCTTGATAGAGGAAATGTTCCTTCAGCCACGTTCTCAGAGATTTGCAGTGTCGTGCCGCGAGTTTGGTGACGGCGTTGCATTTTGGTCCTATGATATTTGCTTTTAAAATTTGTGTAAATAAGTATTTTGATACTTTGTGCGATGTTAGGGATTCTTTCGTTGTTTCTGATGGTTTCTGGAATTTTTTTAAAGAAAAATGTTACGCTTAGCACTTTGTGAAGGACAAAGAGAGCTTGGAGTTATTTGCAATGTGGTGCTGGAAAAAATAAAATGGGTTGAAAAGAGATTTCATGAGGAAGTTTTGGAAAGGGTTGGGAAGGTAAAAATGTTTGGATAATTTGTTGCGTAATAACGAATTTGTGAGAGTGATAATTGAGGGGAGGATAGAAGGGAAAACCAAGAATGGCTTAAAGTGAACAAATAAAAAAGATCAAAGCGAACAGATATAGAGAGGTCAAGGAGGTCCAGGGAAGTACTGCCACCTTATCTCCTTCTGCGGCCAAGCAATAATGCTCGGATTACTGCGTTCCAGTTTTGAAGGGTAAGGGTGCTGGTAAAATTGCAGGCACATGGGACTTGTCATTTTATGTCTCAGTGTGACGGACGCAGTAGCAATGTTCCTCGGGTCTTTGCGATTGGCATTGCAACTGTTACGGACAGGCGTGTCACTTACCATTAGGCGCACGACTTTTTAGTCCTGTCACTTGGTACGAATAAAAAAACTATTATAAATACCTTTAACTCCATTAATCCACCCAAATCACCAGCAAAACTCATTGTAAAGCATTCCACAGAAGTAAATTCACACAAATACTTCAACACGACTGCAAAATCATCATTTGTTCTTTCCTGTAGCAATAATCTTTGCAACAATCCTTTCCAAATTTGTATGAACAATCGGTCTCTTTGTTCGAATATTGGATGAGAGTCGAGTTTCTTTATGTGACGTAATATAACTATTAATAATTGTATTGATGAGTCTATGTGTTGAATTTTCGTTGAGTTATTATGAAGGGATTTTATCTGAAAAATTACATTTAATTTAAAATAACATTAAATTTTGACAGCCTCCGTGGTCGAGCGGCTTGCACACCGGTTTTTATGGTGTCTCCATCTCAGAGGTCCCGGGTTCGTTCCCTGGCCAGGTTGATAACTAACTTTCTATATTGTTTGGTTGGGTCTGGGTGTTTGTGGCACCATCGTTGTTTCCGATTTCCGTAACACCAAGTGCTTTATTTATTTATTTATATTATTTTAATTATTTTTGGAAAACTTACAGCTATGATTATTAATGCAAAGATCGAACACTCAGAAAAAATTCCTTCGATCCGGCCGGATTCGAACCGACGTCTTCTAGCATACCGTGTCAGACGCTATACCAACTAAGCATTGCTTATTAATAATATTATGATTATTAATAAGCAATGTTAATAATCATAATCATTAATTTGCTGCCTCCGTGGCCGAACGGTTACCACGCCGGACTGCCACGCAGAGGTCCCAGGTTCGATTCCCGGGTCGGGAGAAATATTTGTATGGCCTGCAATTATTTCTCTCGTGAGTTTGGGTGTAACTTGTGGTTGTCTATGTGTGTGTCCATGGCACCCGCGACACAGGGTTTTCCCTAGTGCGGGGCTATGTTGAGTGTGTGCGTTATTATTATTATTTCACATTGAATATCAATTCAATAAAAATTTAAAAACTTACAGCTAGGTAACAAGAATAGAATAAAGTATAATACTTACTTTAGCTATTACTTTGGGATCACAGTAACGTATGTGATGTTGTCGAATGTTTATTTATTTAAATTAAGTCATACACACAACATCTAATAATAAAATGGCTGCCTAGTGTTGCTTTTTATTTTTTTTCTCTCATGATAGTCAATCGAGTTTGGCAGACCTGACCTTACCTACTTCTGCCGCCAAACAGTAATGTGAGGGGAACTTTTGGTCGGTTTTATAAATAAGTTACAATTATTTATTAACTGGACACTACAACTGAATATAAATAAACGTGATCTCTCTTAATGAGTCACTTAAACAATTTTAAGTGACTCGAAAATCGCGCGCGTGTGTAACGGCTCTAAGAAGTAACTTTGATTTAAAATTTTGGGTCGAAAATTGATAGAACAAAGAAAAATGTACTTACAGCATGCTGCACAAAAAATCCCAGCCCAGACCAAAGACAATCCAATTTTTTTATTTCACCAGCATCAGTGGTTTCACAATACTTTGAAAGCGTCAACGAATACGCGCCAATAGCGTTCAATGTTGCTGACGTATTTTCAGAATCTACCATACTCTCGTCTGTATTGCCATTTGTTTTATTTAATAAACTACTATTATTTCCGAAATCGATATTTTTGAAGGCATTTAGCACTGAATTGTGCAGTTTTTCCTGTAGAGTTGCCAGAATTGATCTATACGCACTTGTTGTTATGGCTCGTTTTTCTTTAGCTATTATTGGCAGTATTATGCAACTAATTTGAAAAGCTGGGTCACTGAAGTATTCTATACTGGATGCGTTATTTTTATTTTGATTGATTAGTAAGATTTCTACTAAGTTTTTCACTATGTCGCTTTCTGTTTTTACTTTTTTTACTGCAGATTCTAATGTACATTTGATTACTAACATATTGTTTGCGTTTTTGAGCTTCAATGTTAAAAGATTTATCATTAATCTATCGTCAAAAGAGAATATGAAATCTACTGGAAATATTTTGTATATATCCGGACATTTCGGACTTAATTCGTAGACGTTTTGCAGAATTTGATCGATATTTTTCCGAATTTTCTTCTGGCAACACTTTTTCGTAGATAAAAGAACGAAAATTCCTACCAATTGGTAGTTTTCATCAACATAACTCAATGTCAAATGTTTTAAAATATCTAGACAGTTATTTATAACATCCTCTTGATGTTCTTTCAAACATATTTGTTCAAAATATTCTTTGATATCAATTTCTTTTACGAATTTTTTAAAGTCGAAGTCAGATTTTGTCAATGCCTTTGTAAAATTTTCGTTAGTTTCGAAACATTTACTTATATTTTTAACCGTTTCCAAAACTATAGCATTTAGTAGCGGTTTATTATCACTAACAGCGTTGTTTTGGAATATTTCTGCATTATAATTGTTTAGGTATAGTCTGACTAAGTTTTTAGCAAGATGTTTTAACTGTGTTTTGTCTATATAATTGGTAGAAATCACATTATGAAATCCAGGTATTTCTAGAACATTTGGCTGTCCAGACATTTGCTTTATAAGATGGTATTTTATATGATTTATTGGTCCGATTTGTTCGTCTAAATGTTTGATTGGCAGTAGACTGATTGCCCTTATTTTCGCAAGAAGGAGGTTGTTCTGAAAAATAGAAAACAAAATTATGTTGAAAAAAATCAATATAAACAGACTTCATATTTCTATTGTCTATGATTTAAAGGCTTATTACCTTAGGTATATTAAGACGATGAAAACAACTAGAAGTTCGTACCTGGCTTTTTCTTGTACCAGCATAAATGTGTGTAAGTTTAATTTTCAAATAAAGATTATTTTAGTCAATGGATGTAGTAACGGATTTAGTAGCTATATATGAAAAATACTCAAATAGTAACTGATATTTCTTTATTATAGAGAAGGTTTACAGTAAATTTGTATCAATATTTTTTTTATTCAAATGCACACACCCAAATAATGCCTATGTACTCTCGCCTTTAAAAGTCCAAGTTATAACGTTCAGGGAACAAGTCTGCAGGCAGGGAATTCCACTCCATAGCCGTTCGCCATGTAAATGTGGAAGCGTAACGCTTCGTGCCAATCTTTAGAATACCCATAACATAGGGGTGGAATCCAAGCCTACGCCTAGTCCCCCCGATGATGGAAAGGGGAAATCGTGTAATTTCATCGCACACTCTCTGTGATATATCCTGTAAAATACCGATAAGCAGGCAACTTTAAGGCGGCGTTCAAGGCTCTGCAGTTTCGCCTCTACTAATTCCGAGTATCCTATAAGCCTCTTGGCACGCTTGTCAATTGAATCCAAAGTGGTTAATTGGTATGTAGCAGAGCGATCCCAAAGGTGGCAGCAGTACTCCATACATGACCGGTTTTATGCATGATGCTGCTGAAGCAACTGTCCCGGTGTGAAGTAATGCCTCACGCTGGAAAGGATGTGAAGCTTCCTGGCTGCATTTTTGGCCTTGAATTCAATGTATCTGCCGAAGTTCAGATTGGACGACAGGACCATTCCAAGTAGCTGGAGACGGTCGGCTATCGGTATGGATATATCACGAAAAGTCGGAGTTAGCTCAAGGGGACACCGTTTTGTGGAGAATAGACACGCCTGCGCGTCGAGTGTCAAATCCAAACGGCTAACTATATTATGTTAAGTAAAGGTGACAGTGCTAATTACAAGTCTTAGTAAGCAAAAACTACACAACATTATTATTAAAACAGAAACAACACATTATTTTACTAATAAAGTAAAAACAACCTTACCAACAATAATATTGACTCATCTTCAATAGCTTTCGAAGCTAACGCAATCCATTGCTCACTATTCATACAAGGCAAAATCACGCTCATGTCGAAAAGCTCCGATGTAGCCGGAACAGATATAACAAGTTTAGTGTTGCTATACTTCAAGTTTAGTAGTTTTAAGTGTGCAACACTGAGGCTGAGTTCCAGGAATGCTGTTGTTAGTTGAGGGTTCTGAAAAAAGTAGGATATGGATTTTGTACACTCAGCTGGCTCTATATATATTAAGTTTGTAGAGATGATTATGTACTTTTAACAGGCAGGCAGGCAGGTTATACATTCCTGTTCTTGAAGAATCAATTTCAAATAATCATTATTTCATAAGTACGCAAATTACCTACACTTGAAATTGTCATGAATTCCCCTAAGAATAATGAGCTAGAAACTCTAGGGGTTGCTCTTTGTAAATAAACATTTGTACCCATTTATCATTTACAATATTTATTTCAAATATCGATCGATCGATCGAGACAAATTGCAAGTGCTAAATGGACACAACCATGGATTTTTGTCATTGCAGAAGGTGTACAATATAAAAACTTGAGCTTTTTTTCACAATAGATTTAAATACGATACGATACGGTGTAAATCAGCTCAGTAATGCAGGTGCATGCAACTGCATTGATATTATATCGTTTCTATCATCTATTCCATCACTGATATCTTATTCTATTCTAATCTATTCGTACTAATTATCTATACGGAGCTGGAAAGAGAAAATATAAATGTGATCGTACTGTATTTCGCCACCACATGTGCAGGCGTCTATTACGAGACGTAAATTGGTTGGAACATGCATTGTTATACTAACATGACTTAATTTTAGAATGCATTCACCAAATTTCTTCAAACATTCATCCTCAAATAGTTTAAACGCGTTCCAAAAGTCCTCAGCGATTTGGTGCGGAACGGTGTGATCCGCCATCTTGCAATGGTTGAGGAAGCTCGACAAAATGGCAGACAAGACTTTTGCTAGCGTTATTATCGAGGGGCCTGTAATTTATTAAAAAAGCCTGTTATGGAAGTTCATTTAGGAGGTATTCCTGAACATTTATTGCCCAATAGAAATATTTTAATAATACATAAAAACAAAAGCTAAAGAATTTTAGATGAAAAACCAACAAATAAACATGAAGTAAATAAATAGAGGTTTAATTTCCGGCTAACTTTTCCTACTGTCATTAATGGGATTAAGACTTTACTTTTCCATCAAATGTTACGTGTCCAACTTCAACATCAATGTCTTTAGTGGAAGAAATTAGTTCTTTTTAAGTTCGCTACGTGGTGAAGTCTAAATATTACTTGTTAGCTTCGCAAATATCAAATAGCAATACATACTGACAAATCCTTCTTCCAACATCATCAAACAATGTTCTTCAAAATCCTTTTGCAATAGTGTTAGCAGTTCCTTATTTTGTCTGAACATTAATTCTGAACTCCACTTCCCAAACGTTTCTATACATTCTCTTGGAAATAAATCGTTACTTGTGATAATTTTATTTTTTAGTTTTTCTAAATCCGTTTCATTGTCCGTACACTCTTTAATTTTCTGTTTTAGCTCAAATTGTTCAGTGTTGCTGGCTTCTAACGCCAATTTTATACTTGGAAGGATTTGATTTATGAATGTTATGCCTCGACTCAATTTAAATAGAATTTCAAGTAGGCAATTTAACATATCCTTGTAGGACTCATATGTACTTATATTGTACTTCTTCGCAGTCATAATAGGGGGTAGAATTTGGTCTAATTTTTTCTCTAATAAAGTAGGGTCAAGTTTCAATGCAGCCTTTATTATTTGTAAAGATGTTTTATCCAATTTTCCTTCGAGTTTCAACTGCCCCATCATAACATTTTGCAAGAAAGATATAAAATTCTTTTTAATTTCTATTTTAGATACCTTTTCTCCAAATGTATCAGTTAATTTGATGTTTATATCAACTTCGTATTTGTGTAAACTTTCTAAAATACTCAAATATAGGCTCCGTTTAACTTTTTCATCATTCTCAAATACGATGCCGGGCATTTTCATAGCCGGGTTCAAATAATTCTGATTCATATTTAGCGAGTTAACGACCATTATGTAAAATGCGAAAATCATTTGACTCTCGTTTCGGAAGCAACTCACAAAGATATCGACAAAGTTGGATAAAAATTTGGAGTTTTTGTCAGTTCGTCCTTTTGGAAACATGAAGAATGCACTCATAACTTTCAATACAAATTGTATATTGTCACCTTTCTCAGCAATTAATTCATCAATATTATCTTTTCTTATTAAAGTTTGTAGAAAACTTACAAAGAAAGATTTCTTATTCATGGGAAATAAAATATTTTCACACACATGAATCACGGATTCATGATTTTCAGTGTCCAAAAACGAGAATAAAGTTTCTATATTTTCCCCTTCTAAGAATTTTACAACAAATTCTAACTTTTTCTTACACTCTTTGTAATATTTAACGAAATTGTTTAATATTTTTTCGCTTTGTGTAAAGTTGCCCTCGTTTCTCAAATACTGTAGTAATGTAGTGGTGATATGTAGAAATTCATCTATTTGTAAACACAATTGCGAGAAAATCTTCGAGTGTTCTAAGAAGAATATTATGCTTTGAACATTATCTGCTTGTAGTGGATTTATTTGAAGATATTGTGTTACAACCTGAAAATGTACAGTTAGAAATATTTAAAAAAAGAAATGATCAGTAGTGTAATATTATATTATTGAATGAGGAAAATTCAAAAAGTCAGATAGTGAGGAGACAAACCAAGGTAATCGATTTGATTTCAAGTGTAGATCAGGCAAAATGGAGATGGACATAGTTGTCTCGTGGGCTGGAAAAATGGAGCAAAGTAGTCACCAATTGGTACCCACGTGAAAACTTAAAAAATAAACACGTAACAGAGGGCGTCAACATCAAAGATGGGAGGATGAGCTGAAGCTATCTGCAGGCCCATGTTGGAGAAGCGTAGCTCTTGATAGAGCGCACTGGAAAGATCTGTAGCGACGCCTATGCCAAGAGGCACGCTGAGTTAAGAGATTTAATGTAAAAAATTAAAATGCAATGTAAAATTGTAATGTAAAAGGTATTTGTAATTCAGCTTAAAAGGCTTAATAAAAAAACAAATAAATAAATAAATGTTATTGAACAGTTGTGTCGCTGTCAACCTCTACAGATGACAAGCAGACTGACTAGCCATAAAGACGGACTGACTTTTTCTATGATATCAAGTGATGGGACGAACAAGTCGTGCGCTTGAAATGTATTCCAAAATGACGACTGTCGGCTCATTACCAGCGAACGGTACGGGAGTATCTAGATAATGCATTTCCCAACTCTCGGATTGGCAGAGGCAATCCTACTCCCTGGTCTAAGTTTTGTCTGATGACGTGCATAGGAGCTCGTTTATGCTACAGAGGTTTGGTCAAAAGAAGTTTTGATAGAAAGAATTAGCGCCGCTTGTATGTCATGAAAGAAGAAATGCAACTCGGAACAAGGACTGTTGAAATAAGAAAAAGTAGTAACGCACACACTCAACATAGCCCCGCATTAGGGAAACCCTGTGTCGCGGGTGCCATGGATACACAGATAGACAACCACAAATTACACCCAAAGTCACGAGAGAAATAAATATAGGCCATACAAATATTTCTCCCGGCCCGGGAATCGAACCTGGGACTTTTGTGTGGCAGTCCAGCACGGTAGCCATTTGGCCATGGAGGCAGTTAGATAAAAAAACAAAGGTGGACAATTTGAGTAAAATTTGTAATATTAATTAATTATAAAAAAAAGAATATAAAACGTAATATATTTTTTTTTATTGCCTCTTATTTTAGTTAGCACGGACCTTTTTTGTAATATATCTTATTTTGACCATGTGTCGAATAGTTTCTATAACATGTAGCATATTGTTGGAAAGAGCATTAAATAAAGAAGTTTTTAAAACAAAGCTAATTCAAAAAGACTTTTTAGTTTTTGTTTAAACGAATTTACTGTTTGACATTTGTATGTTTGTAATACTTTATTTTTTAAAAGCTCACAAGTAATTTGTTTGAGAACATTTATTTGAAATCATGATTTATTTAGAATGGCAGTACATTACAGAATAGAACAAAATTAATTTGGTGCTATTACAGCTGCAAACAAAAAAGTTATTACGATGTGCAGACGAGATTACAAGTAATTAATAAAAAAAATTAAAAAATTATATTTCTATTACCTTGCACCTAGGACACGGGGTTAGCGGCTAAAAGCGAGCCCCAAACTGCCAAAAAATTTTTTCAATACATTTGCGAAACACGCCGTATATTCACAGATAATATATCTACTATATTTAGTTGTAGTACGGTAATTAAATAAACCATTAGTTATATTACCTGTTATATACAAGTGTATTTATTTAATACAATAATTATTGAGTTTAGTGGAAATAATAGCTACCATCAAGTTAACTTAAGACTTCAATAAATGTGTCAGATAACCATACCAATTATCTGAGAATTCCCATTGCAGTAAATAGTGCTTAATATCATGTAACAGTGCTTTCGCTGATCCATCCAGTCTCCACAGGTGTAGACCGATGTACCGTTAACGGAGTTGCAAGTCTATTATAATTAGAAATCTATTAAAGGGTCTATTAGTGTCTTCAATGTTTACCTTTATTAACTGACTCTTCAATTCTCCTGTCAATTCTTCCCCATCGAGCCATTGGATAACATTCCTAAGTTCCACACCACCTACTTTATTCTCTGCCGAAAGCGTCTGTAGCCAGTCAGCGACAACTCGTTCTTTTGGAGCCGAAGGAAAGTGGTGTGAGTGAACAATGTTTTTGGCGAGGCAGAGTCGTTTTGGTAGAGGGGTTGAGTCATCATTCAGACGGCGTTTTAGTTCTACAAGTATAGTTTTGAATAAGTTGTCTAATCAGAAATAGTTAAATATATTTATAAAGGTGTTTAGAGTATTTTTTTAAAAATGAGTAACAATACTGTTGTATAATATTGTAGTAAAAGTCCCCTACTTAATAATTAATTTGTGTTGAAATAAATATATGATAAAATAATATGACATATTGATTTTAGATACCCTGAGAGATAAGTTGACAATACTTTTGCAGGCGCTTAGAATATGCCAACAATGGTTTCTGGATTATCTTTGCAAGCATTATTTTATAACAATTATTATATTAATTACTAGTTGAATTCACTATTACAAATGTTAATTCCATTTGTAGATAATAAGGAATGTGAATGAATTATAATCAGTTATTTATAAAGCAATTACACGGAGAAGATAAACTGTCTTTTTAGAAGATACCTTTCGCAAAGGCGATTTTTTTATAATAATTTTATATAGAAGCTTCCTAAAATAGTGAAAAAAGTATGTTTAGGTAGAAATTTGGTAGTAAATAGTCATATAAAAAAGTAAATTATATACTGCCAGAACCATGAAAAAAGTAAACGTGACTGGACCAGCTAACCTGACGTCAGAATGGCTGGCCACTTTATTTCTTTAATATTTCCGCTAGCGCAAAGGTAGAAAATATGTCAACAAAGGTACTAAATAATAATGAATAGGAAGTTTTGTACATTTCGTTTGGTTCAGCCTTCCTGACGGACACCCATGTGCCTGTAATTTCACCAATACCACCTACCCTTCAAAACCGAAAACAGTAATCATTGCTCACATTGTTACTTGGCGGCAGATATAGGTATGGTGTCAGTACTTCCCTGGACGAACTCTTTCACAAGTGGCTCTGATGCTACTAATTATTAATTTAAAAATAACTTTTATTTCCTTAAAATTTCCGACAATAATAATGAACTTAATACGATTTAAGGTTATGTTATGATGTTTATAACAAAATTAAATTATTGAAGATAAACTTACCATTTAATGGATTTAAAGACATTTTATACGTTTATCTAACACTTATTAACAAGAGAAATGTTACAATCCTAAGATTTCCACAGAAAAATTATAAAATCACATGCACAACACTGTATGTACATGTTGATCACATGCACAAATCACATGTTGATCACAAATTAGAAAGATATAGTTATAGGTAGATGTTGAATCAATTTTAAAAATTTTACGTTTCGTTTATGCTATGCTGCCAATGTAGATTGATTAAAAATTAATAATGGCGGAAATTGTTAATGGTACTAATTATAGTAAATAATCATTATTAACTGTTAAAAATATTTTATACGGCAAATAGTTTAACAGTTACAAGCGATGCTTATTTTAACATAAAAATAAATTTAATTTTCGTGAGCGTGAACAAAACGTAAGTTGACAGTAAAATATTGCCCTCTTGGGGAACTTGACTACCCAATTTCTCCTAATACTTTTTTTATGGATTATGCTGGCACTAGTTTCATGGATGATGGATGTTTTTAATTTCCATGAATGATTATAGTAAATTGTGATTACAACTGTAACCCTAACTAAACAAATATTGCTAGCTAATGGCCTTGCTTTATGTATGGACTGAATATTGTGAAAATTGCCTGTTTATTTAGATTTCTGTGGCAAAAATAGTTTGCTCATACATACGTATAATTTTATTGTTTCTCTGATGCTCTACTATATTTCTCTAATGTAGAGCATTTGTAGATAGATATCCAATACATTAAGATTTAAACTTCATTTCGGCGAATTTTCGCACATACTATATAAATATATATATTGGATTCGTGCGATTTTTGTCATGTACGGTAGGCATCGTTTATTTTGTAATATACGTCTACTTAGTTAAGGATTTAAATATTAAATGCAGAAAACTGTTTAGTGATATAACACATTACTTCATTATTAATATTTTATAATGATGGCATTTAATTTGAATTTATACAAAAGGCTGCTGTATTTTGAAATGAAGAATAGAAAGTGCTACGAAACTATAATCACAAGAAATTTGTGATATTAAAAGTACGTCTCACGTATTTGCTGTATTAATGATATTTCTTTAGTATTGAAAATAGGCGGCAGTTAACCACTTCCCACTCCATTGATTGCTGGTTTGGTTTGAATACAACAAAAACATCTGATACAAAATCGGGTTACCAAATAGGGGGAAGCGGGGTAGTTTGACACAGGGGGCACATTCATACACCTGCATTATCTCCATACCTTGAAACATAACATTAGTTGTGATAATACTAAAACGTGCCTTTGTATGTGTGAGTAATAGACATGCGATGATGCAGATCACCAGTTAGCCGTTTTCGTTCGACAGGTCACAAAGTGTTTTCACAGCCGTTAACTAAAAAGTAGAGACACAAATACGAGTGCCACTGCAGTTTCGTTCACTTTACAGGGTTTTATGTTTTAATACAGTGTAAACTAGTGTTTTCAATAACTAGAATTGGATGTGATTGAGAGAATATATAATGATTTTTTTTAAATAAATATTCTTTTCTAAACTGGCCTGTGGGGTACTTTTATACACTAGTGAGTGGGGCAGTTTGGTACGTATCAAAGTGCTAGGAATTAGTTATTTTGTACGAAAAATATAAAACTGTTTCAACAAGTCATTGTAAAGAGGTGAACTAGTGACATTTTGCGCTATAGTCAACTCTTCCTCCTGTATTTCTACTTCCAAGACTACATTACAAAGAATACTTTTCAAATGGTGCCCTAGAAAGAAGTCTTGATAGATCAAGCGCGGAGGCACATATAGCGTCATACTTTATGAACAGTTGATCACCTGGTGCTGATAATACGTGGCAACAAGGAATGGCACACTACGTTGATTCACACATTCAAAGTGCCCCAAGCGATGTATCAAAGTGGTATCCAGGTGGGGCAAAATTGGACAATTCCCATTTTTTTGTTAAAATCAAAATTTTTCAATTATTCAATGTTATTTATGAAAGAAAAGATTAAATTAGTAATGTTTATTAAATATATCATCAATTAGGTAGAAAAAATATTCATTATAATTTCATTTAGTAGCTCAAAATTAAAGTTAAAAAAAGTGTACGGATCTGCCCCGCTTCCCCTTAAAAAAATATTTAGATTAGAGTATTACTCAAGTATGTATGTTCCGTCAAGCATCAAGGAATTGAAATAAGAGTTGATTTACTATTTTTTGTGTATTAAGTGGCATATTTTCAATAATTTGAAGTGATTGCGTAGCTTCAATTAATATTATTAAAATAAAATAAAATATTTTGTAAAACATGTCGTCGGGAATAGTGCAATTGCGCGTAACTAGCATTTGATTATGAGTTTCCATTTAGGTAATTTTGTGGCTAAATCAAAATCCGCACAAATGTCGAGGCAACCAAATTAACGTGTTTTACGTGAATCTATTGTTATCAGTCCGTAGACAACATAAATTAATGCTTACTGTGCGAAAATGAAAATCGTAGCATTACAAACAACAAAGTAATAACGTTAAATCCCTTTCCTGTGAAATTTGGTTTAATGCAGATACGAGCTTTTTACCAATACTACACACCTACGCAGATTTGTACTATCCCCGACGATATATAGCGTAATTGGAATATTGTTATGAAAATTGAAAAATAAGTATTTAATTAATAACTTTTAATTTTAATTATAGTGAAAAATAGGGTGGTTTGTGTTAATATTAGGGGTTAAAGTATGAAATTGCCGTTTTATTGCAATAGGTTCTTTGAATTTTCATAGAATCTTCATGGTTTGAGGTTTTCGAACGAAACTTTTTTCAAATGGTTTCTGTGATTTTTTTTTTAAATTTGAAACATTTGAATATCGACTTTCAATTGTTTTTGTTATTCAATTTAGACAAGAAAGATGGATACTGCGAAAATTCGAGTGATTTTTGAATACGAGTTCCGACGCGGAACTAACGCGGCAGAAACAGCCCGCAATATCAATGCTGCGTTTGGAGAGGGGTCTACTAATGAACGCACCGTGCGATTTTGGTTTAAACGCTTTCGTGATGGAAATTTCGACTTAAAGAACGAGCCACGAGGAAGACCGCCCACACAGGTGAATAACGATGAATTAAGAGAGATAGTGGAAGCCGATCCTAGTCAAACTACCCAGGAATTAGCGGCATGGTTTAACGTTACCTTACCCACAATATTGACTCACTTGCGTCAAATCAATAAAATAAAAAAATACGAAAAATGGGTGCCTCATGATTTGACTGATCTGCAGAAAGAAACGCGTGTTGAAACTTGTGTTGCCTTGTTGAACCGGTACAGAAATGAAGGAATATTGGATCGAATTGTAACATGTAATGAAAAGTGGATTCTTTATGATAACCGGAAAAGAAAAATGCAATGGCTGACCCCAGGTCAAATGCCAAAACAGTGTCCTAAAGCAAAACTAACCAATAAAAAGGTAATGGTAACTGTTTGGTGGTCTCAGCATGGTGTTATTCACTATAGTTTTCTCCGATCTGGTCAAGCAATAACGGCAGATGTCTATTGTGCCGAACTCCGAACCATGTTGACAAAACTAGCAGTAAAACAGCCCCGACTCATGAATCGATCTTCACCATTATTGCTCCACGACAACGCGAGACCTCACACAGCACGAGAAACCATTTTGACCCTTCAGGAACTGCAGTTAGAAACCATTCGTCATCCTCCGTATTCACCAGACCTTGCTCCAACGGACTACCATTTTTTTCGTGATTTGGACAATTATCTACGTGAAAAGAAGTTTTCTTCCCAGGAGGCAGTACAAAATGCTTTCACACAGTTTGTGCAGTCTAGATCGTCGGAGTTCTATCACAAAGGCATTAATAACCTTCCCATTAGATGGCAGCAATGTATAGATAATAATGGCAACTATTTTGATTAAATAAATTTGTTAAAAATTTAAAAAATAAACAATTTAGATTTTCAGTACAAATCGGCAATTTCATACTTTAACCCCTATTATTAGACATGGTTGATGATTTCACCATCTCAGTTAGCCGTGACCGTGGGACCGGCCCGAAATGTTGGCTTGTCTGAAAAAACAAATATACGCGATTTAGTATATGAAAAAATAGTTTCATTTCCTAAACGTTGCTCAATTTTTAGATTGTCTTCAATATTAAAAAAGAAAACAAAAAATGTTTTAAATTAGGAAAGGAAACCAATCTCAAGGAAATCAACCTCGAGCCCCAGCAGTCGTATTCAGCGGACCACCATGTCCGCCGCTACTAAGGCTCTTCGGGTCGCCTCCTGGAAGGTGGTCCTCCGGACGGCCACCAGCGTGTCATCGGCGTACGCGATGACCGCTGTCCGGCGGAGCAGCGCGCCCCTCAGCACCCAATCGTACCCCAGGTTCCACAGTTGTGAAAGAGGTTGTCCAGGGACGTACTGCCACCTTACCTATTCGGCCGCCAAGCAGTGACGTGGGCATTACTGTGTTCCGGTTTGGAAGGGTAAGAGTGCTGGTGAAATTACAGGCACATGGGACTTGTGAACTTATGTTTCAGGGTGACGGGCGCAGTGGCAGTGCCCACAAGATCTTTGTGATTTGAAGCTCTGAAAGGCACTGCAACTGTTATGGATAGGCGTGTCGCGTACCACCAGGCGCACGACTAGTTCGTCCCGCCATTTGTTATCATAAAAAGAACCTGAAATAAAGTCAATACTGACATAAGTGTATGTAACGCTATGTACTTAACGCACTTTAACTAAAAATCATTTATAAATAATTTTTCGCAAGCTTTTATTACTGAAAAAAGTAAAAGACTCTAAACTCATATGCTCTATTCGTATGCTATACTCCTGATACGACTCTGGAGCGCTCTACTGCCCCATATTGAAAAAGCGCCGAATAAGCTAGCTTTCAAGTAATTAGTCCGCGATTCCCATCCCATTAGTCTGACATTGTTATATATAAATATGTATATTAAATATATATGTGTATGCATTATATACTATGTATTTATGTGTATATAGGTTGCTTATATAAGTATACAGTTAGTCATATAACATTATGTGTTATATTTATATTGTTTTTAAAATATATATCATAATTATTTATAAATTTCTTGCTATCTTTTTTAATTATCATGTTATATACCCCTGTTAATTATTTCGAACCCAGCTCTCTGGTTGACTGGTAGAGGATGCCTTAATGGCATTAAGTCCGTCATATGTACTGTTTTGTGTGCAATTAAGTTAAATAAATAAATAAATAAAAGATATTTTTCAGGACACTGAACCTTATTAGCCTTTTTCTGATTTAGCCAAAATACGCTCACCGTTTACCGAACTGGATGGCGATGTTAACTCAGAACGTGTTTAAAGGAAGAAAAAGAATTATTAAAGACACTTAGGGTCGTATTCTAGAACTCTACTCAATGCTCAAGTCAGGATTTGAGCATGGTTTAAAGCACTCGAAATCATACTCAAGTCCCTGCCATTAGGGTCGTATTTCTAGTGCTTGAAATCATACTCAAGTCTGCTCAAATCCTGACTTGAGCATTGAGTACAGTTCTGGAATACGACCCTTAGTCTTTAAATAATTCTTTACCTGGTCTCTTCAATTAGATACAGGATCAAAATCACATCAAGCTTGACAGCTAAGATTTAAATTGAACTGTATGCCACGCGATAAGAATGGTCCCATGAGTCAAACTTAATATGTAGTCTTGACTGAACATACGTTTTATGCACATTTAGTTCGAACTGATTTGGCAAGTATTCATCCACCTACCTATATTGTACAGGGTCAAGAGCACGTCAAGCTTAACACTTCAGACTTAAATCCAACTCTGTTCTGTTTTGTTTACGATAAGAACAGTCCAAAGTACAAAGTGTGAAACTTGTTTAGCTTTTGACTGTACCTACTCCTGTAGTGCAATCAAAACGAAATCTACAGATGCTTCTGTTACTTTTTATAGACAGTTGCAGTATTAAATTTATATATAGAATGTGTGTAGGGTATATTCAGTATACTCGGTGACAATCTGGTTTTCGTACATGACACTAGTCTTCTTTTATTTTTTTCCATTCTCTAAGGTCTAATATCTAGAAATGACAGTTCACATTTCTTTTTATTTGCTTTTAGAAAACGCGAAGGAAAGAGCATAAAATGTAATTTTTAACCGACTTCAGAAAAAGGATGTTCTCAGTTTGACTGAAGTTTTTTTGTTCGTGAATGTTACGGGATTTTGTGGATAGATTCGGATGTTTCTTTTTTGTTGGAAAAGGGATAGCTCAGTAGTCGTCCCATTTAAATTTGACGAAAATGTTTCACCTCTAAGGGTCGCAAATTAGGGGATGAATTTGGTTTATAGGATTTCATCCACTTTCCGCTAACCTATTGCAATAAAGCTTGGCAAATAAATTTAGTTCCACAAACTTTTGAGGTCGGATTTTTTGTAAAAGATATGTTTTCATTGAAGACAAAATAAGAATAAAATTTGGTGATTTACGGGCATAACATAAATGTTTTATGTTGACTATAGCAACATGTACACCTGCCTAAAAATAACGATTGAATGACAAGAGGGGTTCATTCATAAAAAAAAATAGTCGCCATTTTGAGAAGGTTATAATAACACGAAACGATTCCCGTCACGGTCACGAACTGCCGACACGAAATAGGCCAAGGCAAAAATTTGCGCATGCCCGAAAGAATTGATTTTCTTACATTTATGACGTCACAAAATGTCTGCCATTCCAACTCGCCCAGTATAAAACAGTTAAAAAACAAGACACTCTTCCAGTTTTATCCAAAAGACAAGCATATTATGTTGGGAAATCATAAAGTTCATGCCAAATTTCGCGGTGACTGATAGAGAAAAGACTTTTGTTTCGATATTATACACAGTATCAATGGTTGAGGTATTAACGTGTTTTGTACAGTGACGGTATCTAAGGAGATCACAAAATGGTTTACCGAATGTTAGTACAAAAGAATTTTCTGACAATGCTCGACGCGACTACAACCATAATGGCGAAATTGCTCTGTTTACGTGAGTACTATTACCATTATATATTTCAATTTATTTTTTCTATTTTGTTTCGAACCTTAGAGCTTTCAAAACACTGGTTAAAACAAAATTTGTTCTACAGGCAAAGATTTTTCTATCTTTTTTTTAATTATGGCTTTACCACTTTTGTTTTTGTGTGATTTCTTTCTTTAATTTCCTTTACGGATTTATTTCTTAACAGTAATTAAAAAGTATAAGTTTAAAAAATATATGCAATTAAATTCAGCTAACAATTGCGAGTCTAAAGTTATGCTTACAAAGCCCTATTGTATTTTTCATGGCTCTTGTTTGAAAGCATTATCGTGTTCAGTACATCACATATTACCATGAAATTGCTTTGTTCGTCACAAATGACAATTAAAAAACATTAATTAGGTCCAGATTACGGCTGACGTCACTTTTAGTTCTGGATACAATGCAAATCGATCTTTGCTTTACGAACTTAATTGTTAATCCAATTAAAAAAAATAAATGTAATTTTATAACAGTCTTTGTACATTTAAATGTTGATTTATTATATAGTAAAGAAATTAAATATTATCCGAATACGAGATTGGTCGAGTAAAGATGGAATAACTATTTTTGACACTATTGATTTTTAAGAATGGGTATAATTTCTAAGTCCCGAGTAAACTGCAAGGCAATTTATCAATAACTTCTTGAAGTTATCTCTAGGTGCAAGACAAGATCTTTCTAGGTAATTTATTGATCGTGTAGGAGGTTGTTGAATTAATTGAAATTTGACAGTGATTTGACAATGATAGACATGTCCCATTCCCATACTATTATCGTGGAAGTCGTATATCGATACAGACACTACACAAAAGAGAATCAAGTTTCATAACAATAAATTTAAAAAAAGTTTAATATATTTTTCTCGCAAACAGTTTTATACTATGACAGCGTGTGGCAGAATAAAATTCAATCGCATTCAGTTCACTGCAGGACTAACTAATTGCGTAATTAAAATGTGATGAAATCACATTTCATCTATGATTCGAAAAACCTTCGACGCTTGTAAAACACGAATTCTACAAATATTTTCCGAAGAATTAGACAAGTGTAGATATTCTATTGTCTGAAAATTGCCTTAATCGAAGCTCAGATCTGAAACGCATTGCCTAATCGAAGACGTGAATCGATCGATTTCAGAGTTTAAAATAGTTGGTGCTCATGAAGCCTGGTTAGCGTGCAGATTACAGTTGAAACTATTCATTCTATTTCTTCTTGTTGATGTGGTCTTCCAAAATTCTCTATTTCTTATTCGACCTCACATTCACCATCTCCGTCAGTTTCCCGCAATTCGCAATCTGAAAATGAATCTCTGAAAAAAGGGGGCCTAGTCAACTATGCCTTATCCTCCTCTATCCACGCTTTCAATAAATTCCAGTTTGGACTGTCAAGCGTCGAAAGTTATCTTCCGTTATTGTTAACGGTTTGAATAGAAACTAGTTCAAATCATTTTGCTTCAGAATAGAGCTGGTCATTTCAAATCTAGTTTTCTATTTGCATATGATGTCTAAGTGTTTTTGGATGTTATGTTTCGCGCCAATATCTGTCTGTCATGGTCTTTTATTTTTAGAAATAGATAAAACGTACGTGAATAAAGTTTTTAAATTAAGCGAAACTTTAACAGAGACTTTTTAGTCATTAATGACATTATACAAGGTATTGCTTTGGACTTACTTTTGGAATTCATGATTTTATTCCGAATAACAAATACTTAACCCTTGAACCGCCATAAACGCTTTAAAGCGTCAATGAAACCATATGTTATTTTTATATTCTAGTTAAGTATGGAGTCAATGTTTTTCTTTAACTTAGGAGAATTGAATGAATCATCATTAAACAGTCTCTACTCCATCCGTCTTCGGATATAGGCCTCCTCCATATATGTCGCTCCCGTGCCACATACATCCAGTTGCGAAAATTTTAATGTCATCCACCCAACGAAGTGGCGGACGACATCCATGATCCTCCTTGTCCACCGATCTGGATCCATCCTAGCTATGTGACCTGCCAATTTCCATTTCAACGTCTTAATTTTGCGTCCCCTTTTGTTATCCATCGAATACGCTCATTCGGTATACGATCGAGAAATGTTAATCCTAACATTGCTCTTTCTATTCCCCCCCGTGCGATTCGTAATTGAACTAATATAGGGTTAAAATTCATGACATGTCATATCTCTAGACTTGGCGTCTACGAAACACAACTAGTTTTTGTCAGTGACGGTCAAAAGGTTAAAGAAATTAATAAGGTTTGCGGACTCGATCTGTAGTTCAGTTGCTAGAGCGGTGGCACTGGTTTGGCACAGACGCAGGTTCGTGTCAGGTTGAAGGAATTTTTCTTTGTGTTTGATCTTTGTATTAATAATTATGTATACATACAAAGCCGGGTACTCATTAGCGACTTGTAACTGTAACGTGATAGATACAGTAACGAGGTTCTAGTGTATACACGTGAAACGGTCTTCGGTTCACTGCGAAACTCACGCGTTCCGTTCGTGGCAAGCTTGCGAACCGCGTACACACTATGATTTTTGGTAACATAACATGCTACGGATTAAAGCCCGCTAGCGAGTATCCGGTTTAAGATGTTTTCAGGCATCTGTTAAAGTAAAATCATGTGATGAACTATTGAAGTAATTTCACAAAAAAATAAAAGGAACCATGTCCTCCATCCTCCGACTACCTATTTACAGTCTTCGGGAGTTGAAATCCTTGGCCCGTGGGGTCCCGGTGCACGCACTAAATTTTATCTGTCTGGAAAACCCAAGGGCCGGCTACCTAGCTACCTTGCGCAACGCATTAGCATAGCCATACAAAGGGGGAACGCTTCCAGCATCTTGTGTACCTGGTCGCGAGGACCCAATTTTATTCATATATAGGAAATGAAACTATTTTTGCGGATTTAAATCGCGTATATTTGTTTTTTCAAACAAACCATTTTCAGGCCCTTTACAGGTCACGTGGTCACGGTTGATTGAGGTCGTACAGTCTTCAACCAGTTATGTTTAATAAACTAAAACATATTAATTAGTACTGCAGTCTTAAGTCTGTTTGGGATTTTTCATCAGAGGAAATACTGGATCCCAAACTGGTGGTACGGAGAAACCATCTTCCCTGTTGAAATTAGGATGTTTTTTAATTTCAATGGCCTCTCGCAGCATCGTGTGTAGATAACGGACTTCTTTTGCAAGGACCTGGGGTTTGTCAAACTTCATTGAATGTGTAGGTTTATCCATGACATGCTCGCAGACTGCAGATTTGTTTACACGACAGTGTTTGACATCAGATATATGTTTTTTGACGCGGTTACAAATACTTCGCATCGTTTGTCCAATATACAGGTAAGAGAGACCGCACCCACAGTCAAGCTTGTAAACTCCTGCATTCTGTAAGGGGATGTTACATTTCACGGGTCTCAGGAACTGAGAAATCTTCCCCAGGGGCTTGAAATAGATCTTGGTAGATGCACGCCAGAGGACTCTTCCGATTGGGGATCGTCGAATCCGATGAGAATTCTTTTTCTTTTATTCATGTAATTTAATCCTAGTTTTACTTTCTAGTATTTATGCTATTATTGTACCTTACCCGTAAATGAAAATAAAATAATGAGTAATACTGCACTAATATTTTGTTGAGTAGCTGATTTTATAAATAAAATACAAATGTAAAGTGTAGGACAGAAGCTAAACGTTTGCTCTTTATCTTTGTCATGAATTCAGAACACTCAAATCTGCGGCCTTTTTCAAGCCATCTGATAAATAATATCTTACCGCTCTGCTGTATTTGGAGCATTTTTTTGAATGATATCACATGTGCGACACTCATAGCTTTAAATCGTAAGAATATGAGCGGACTATCTACAACTACGCCTTGCAACTATCCTGTAATTTGATCATTAATGGTAGCAGTAGAACGTCTTGTGAAAGAGTTCGTCCAGGGAAATACTGCCACCTTGCCTATTTGTGCCGCCAAGCAGTGATGTGACTGTTACTACGTTCCAGTTTTGAAGGGTAATATGGGACTTGTCAACTTATGTCTCAGGGTGACGGGAGCAGTGTCAGTGCCCCACAGATCTTTGCGATTTAAAGCTCTGAGTGGCACTGTAACTCACACACTCTTACCCTTCAAAACCGGAATGCAGCAATGTTGAAATTACTGCTTGGCGTTAAAAAGACTTCATATGAAAAATTTGTTGATGGAAAATCAGCGTATACTCTGATGTTCCTAACTCTTGCCTTGTAACTTATTTATGTAAAGTAATAAATACATATATAACGATTCATGTGTGTAGTAATTATCTAATAATCGGCTTGAAATCTTAGAACTAGAATGATAGTTTGTGTTAGTTCTTCTTATTTTTACGAACATGGCAAACTGTAGCGGAATATCAGACGTTGTGAAATATTCCGCCACTGTGCTGAGCTTAAGATCTTACACCACTACTATTACTAAACACTGTGTAGAGCTTATATTTATTTTTACTTACTAATGTGTTGAGATAAATGAACGATATAACGTTAACGTATGCGTGTATCGTACGTGTTTAGTAGTTTCTTAGGACTCAGTCGACGCAGACACAACAATTCAAAATCGGCATCTGTCTCGTCCGAGATAAACATTTTGCTGGGTCGTATCCTTTTCCTCTCTTGCGCCACTTAAGCCAGGTACTCATTAGCGAGCTGAAGTCTAACGTGACAGATACGTACGGAACGTGTACGCTTAAAACAGTCTTCAATCAGAGGGCTGACTGCGAACCGCACGCGTTCTGCTCACTACTGGCAAACTCGCGAACCACGAACACACTCTGATTGGTTACAAAACATGTGACGGCTTTACCAATACCACAATCGCGCGAGCATCCTGCTTTTGCCGATTGATGCGCTATGCATGAGATATTTTTCTCATATTTTCATACAAACGTTTATTCTGCGGGCTATTAAATAAATGTAATAAATAATGATACTGGCGTCA